AGGAAAGCCTGAGAGGAACCTGGGGAGATAGTAGAAAGGGAACACACCATCCATTACTGTAAATGTCTCAGCTTTTCCTGTATCAGACTGTCTCCTACCAAGTAGCTTCAGTATATTAATTTATACTTTTTCTTTTATGATCGTGACAATGAGTTCAAGTGTGGTCCTAAGCCTGAGAAAAGTCTGAAAGGCTTAACTCCAGAGTCGGGAGGATTTCAGGCCTCACTAACTTCTTACTGTCTCTGGCCTTTGACTTTTCTCTTTTTTAAAACTTGTCTTTTTCCTGAGGGAAACAACATTGGCTGCATTTGAGAAAAAGAATGTCACCTATTTCCAGATGGAAGGAGAAGTTTCTCTGCATTGGATCAGTACAGTAAAGTTAGCTACATTAAGCAAACATACCTGCTTAAAGATCTGTCTTGGCAAACCAGAAACACCTGGCAGCTTCCCCAGCATGGTAAAAGTTAGCAGTTAGAAACTGACAAGAGGTGCCAGTGCTTCTTGCCAAAACATCACTGCCGGGAAGACTCGCACAGGCCACTGTTCTTGACCACTGTCCTTGCGCCATTAGTCCCAGCCCAGTACTGTAAGCAAAGGTAGCACACGCCTGGAGTAGGGAGCAGCAGGACTGTCACTTTCCATGTGGAGAGCTTGAGGGAAGCTGTGCAGGTAGAAGGGGAAGAGTTTAGTGAGATCCATTGCCTATCTGCATCAGCAACTGTAACAGAGAGTTAGAGTATTTAAACAACTCAAACTTGTATGTTCTGATAGTATCTTAACTGTTGTAATGAAAATATCAAGACACCTGTGAAGACGCCCAAGTCATTCGAGAGTTTGACAACGAACACTTTGAAGCAGTTGTGGGAGACTTGGCAGGGTCACAGGTGCTTTCCTGTGACTGTGCCAGTGCAGGGGCCGCCATTGCTCTGGTTGACTCTGGGCAAGATTGTTGGTCTCTGCTTTGCCAAATATGTACAGAGCTACGGGGGGCGGGGGGGGTGTGATACTGGGCACAATGTGGGCGAGCCTGCTTAGTACCGAGATGCCAGCTGCAACAGAGCATTCTGCTGACTGTCGTGAAGGGTCATACCTCTTGCTGTTCTCACGAGAAAACGAAACCCAACCCAGAAACTGAGCATTGTACTTCATGCCATGTGCAGCACACAGGATACAGTATTACTGCCCTACTGTGAACAGCTGAATAAGGAAGGCTCATGAAGGAACCCGAAGGAGGAGAGCCAGTTCACCCATGAGCTGCGCTCTGCAAGCGACCCAGGGTGGTTCAGTGCCCTGGAAGTGATGTATGTTTACTGGTGATCCTCTTTTCAGACTTGCTTTTTACCTGGGAGGCAGATGTGCCATATCACAGTTGTGCCGAATCAGTGATTGGATTCCAGCTATCCTGAGGTTAGTCCTCAGAGATGTGACAGTGCAGGGCTAGGAATTTGGACGCCATTTCTAGAGTGCAGTAGTCTTCCCAGGAAAAGAAGAACAGGGTACGGCCTTTGGTGGAGATCCTGGAAGTCCTTGGGATTCCCTGAGCAATAGGATGTCTTTCATTCCTTTTCATCCCTATCCAGTATAGGCTAGAGAAGATGACCTGGAGTCTGAACATGGAGAGACTGAGATTCCAGAGTTGGAGCTGCCAGTCCTACCCACCGGGCCTGGTGTACAAAATTGGGGGCGGGAGAGCTAGAGATTGGTTCATAAAATCTCTTGACTGGTGATGTTGAGCTTGTTGCCAGGTCAGTGAGCCAGGCAGAGGATGAATAATCGCTATACTAGTTTCATTTCTGTTGCTGTGATAAAACAGCTTAAGAGCAACTCTTGGGAGAAAGGATTTATTTGGCTTACCCTTCCATCACTGAGAAATCAAGGTGGGAGCTTAACAGCTAATCACAATACCCATAGTCCAGAGATCAGAGAGAAAGGAATGCACCTGTGCTTACTGCTTCTGCTCGGCTAGCTTTCTTTGCTTTCACACAGTTAGGGCTGCCTACTTATAGGGTGGGTCTTCCTACATCTACTAACAGTCACAGTCCCTCACTGTGGACATTCCCACAGGCTTACCTGCTCTACATAATTCCTCATTAGGATTCTCTACCCATGTGATTACAGATTGTCAAACTGACAGATAAGACTAATGTCACAACCAACCCACCTCTCTGGGGATGGGACTTCTATACCTGGGAACTTTGGGCATCATGTACCTCTTTATATGGGTGTTCATTTTTATTCTTAATTAAAAAATCTGCAGTGCAAAGACAGTTGCCCCCTTATCCATGAGGTTGTGTTTCAAGATGCTCAGTGAAAGCTGAAATCACATAGAATGCTCACTCCTCTATGTGCTAATTTTCCTGTCCACATGCACCAGTAATAAAGTTTAATTCACAAATCAGGCACATCAGGAGTGTAACAGCTCTGTTTTGTGTGTGTGTGTGTAACATATACATATATTATATATATTATATAAGTTATGTGTGTGTGTATATGTATTATATATATGAGCAAACATAACCAAGTGTTTTATAAGTTCTGTGTGTGTCATCTTTCAAAGCACTGTCCTGTGTGCCACTCACTCTCTTGTGATGACGATGAGATGGACGGAGAGGCCTTTGCAGCTTCTCCTTGGTGTGCCTGAATTGCTTACATGACTGTCTTGTGCATTGTGGCTGCTGTTAAGTAAAACAGGAGTTACTTGAATGCAGATTTTCCAGTACCATGGCAGTTGATCTGGTAACAGAAACAGCTGCTGAGTAACTGAGTAACAAGTATCCCCATGTGGATATGTTGGACAAAGCTTGGCTCACTTTGGGCAAGATGGAGGGGAGAACTCAAATTTTCATCTGGCATTCAGAATGACATGTAATTTAAGATACAAGGTTTTGTTGTTGTTGCTGTTGTTGTTTGTTTTCTAGAATAAGCTGTTTAATATTTTAGACCTGAAGTTCCCTCATTCTCTACAGTAGTGTCAGTGTGAACAATAGTCCGATAGTGTTCAGAGTTGAATCAGAAGATGTCACCCAGCTGGTGGCAGAGTTGGTGTGTGTCAGGACACAACATATGCTATTCTAGGAAAGGCTGTAGCATGTCAGGCTTAAGTCTGACTTTTTTTGTGGTGTCCATGTTATCTCCTCATTGTATTGTAGCCTGAGGTGAGGCAGCTAATTTGTTTACACAGTGAACAGCATGCTGAAGGCTAAGTGACATACACCGTTAAAAGCCAGGAGAGCCTGCATATGGGCTGAGACTTGCTCACACCACACGGTGAAAATACTCACAGAGACTGTGTCTGTATAACTTCCAGTATGCATCAGCCACTTGGAAATGTGATTAAGTGTCTTGCAGGAGTGTAGTAGGTACTATTGTGTATCATCTAGAGTCCTTGGGCCCTCAGCTCAGGGCAGACATCAGTTCAAGGCTAAACTCCAGGAATAGTTTTCATGCCTTCTGTCATACTGTGCCAGGATTGGGAGTGCTCTGAACTGGTCGGCTACTAAACCTAGGCTTTTCCCAGACAGAAGTGTAAGGCGGACATAGAGAAGACTGGTGGAGGCTTTCTGTTGATGCCCTGGTGGCAAGAACAGGAAGAACCCTGAGGGCTCCTCAGAGAAAGGCAGGCTGTAAGTTTCTTCTAGAGCATCTTACTCCTTTCTACAATGGACACATACTTCCTTGCAGGAAGGAAAGGCTTAGGAAGTTTTTCGGCCCCTTGAGGTTTCTTTTTGAGGAGTCCAGCCTCTGGTCAGACTGTCTCCGGTGGCATGGTCGTGAGTTGCCTGAGAAAGTCTGTAAATGGCAGGGTGATTGTTTGGGACTAGTGGTTGCCTATAAGGTGTGCAGTGACCTCTCAGTCTTCCTGCTGATCCCTGGAGCATGGGCCGTAGTATCCAGGCTTAGATAGGCTTAGAATGCTGCTTTTGACCATTATAAAATGCTAAAGCTGCTAGAACTAGGGCGAGGGTTATGATTGGTGGGAAAGGAGCTGGCTGACACTTCTGTTTAGTTCTGAGTGGACAGAGGAGCAGTCCCATTCTGTCTCCTGTGTGATTCAGTTGGCCTCCTGCATGTTGCTGTCTCTCTTCTTTGGAAGGGCATGTTTTGGATTTGAGGCTTTTGTCTTCAGGGTTTGAATTTCTCAGAGGACACACAGATTGGCTTCCCCTTCTTGGCCTGACCCGTGTTCTGCTTTGAAATCTGGTCTGTGAGAGCTGCGTGAGTGTCCTGTGAAGTTACTGTGTGCCTTTGAAATGAGTCATGGGTGATTGCTGCTGCAGGTCTGCAATGGTATGTGTGTCACTGCAGAGCACTTAAAACCACTTGTCACCGCCGATTTTAAAGGGAAAGTCTGGTTCTGTGAGGTTTTGTGGGTCTTCTTCCCGTGGTGTGGGGGGAACGCGTAGGTCCGGGGGGGGGGTCTACATCCACCCAGTGCCAGGCTTTGGCGGTGGGCAGGTTCCAGTCTCCTTTTTGCCTCAAGTCAGAATAGCTGGATTGGTTCCTGAATATGGTCTAAAAATGGATTTCAAAGAAATGATTGTGTAATCTGTGAAGCCACTGGTCTGGCAAGGCATTCCCCGGGCCTGCTCGGAGTACCCCAGCGTGCTGCTTCCTTCTGACTGCCGTGCACACCCCAGCTTTGTTTGTTTGTTTCAAAGCCCAGACCCTTCATTGTTATCTTCCAAGAGGGGGGACTCTTTATTTTGTTGCTTGTGGACTCTGTAGAAAAGCCCAGTCTGGGCTAGCTAGTAAGTGAGCCATGCTAGCTCCACCAGATGCCCTCAGGCAGGAATCCCAGTTCACCATATCTCACTGGAGGCTGTTTTGATTATTCTACAAAGAGCTTTTCATTTTTCTCTGGCAAGTAAAAACATTCTGTGCTGAAATTGAAACTCTCTTCTAAAAGAAGGAGAGGATACATGTTTTCCAGTACCATCGACTGCAGAAAACTTTCTGCTCAACTCTCTGTTTCTGAAGCCGGTGTCTTCTCTGTTCCTCAGATGGACTTTCTGGCCGAGACCAGCCAGTGGAGCTGCTGAACCCTGCCCGTGTGAACCACATGCCCAGCACCGGTAAGTCTGCACACGTGTGCTTCAAGTCCTGCGTTACTGAGGTAGTATGATGGGAGGCGCAGGTCACTTTAGAAGTTGGAAGTGTGATAGTTGCTGAATGCTTTGGGTTTGGTGCATATTCAGATTGCATTTCAAGTATATTTGGTGCCCGAGCTTTTCCTTGCCTTTCCCACCTGCCACACCATTGGATTTATATTGAGCACAGAGAGCAATAAATATTTCATGAACATGTCCACTTTTTAAAGTTTGACTGTTTTGAGAAGTTTTGACTTTCACTTTCTATCAAGTGTAGTTTGCTGAAGTAATTTTGTCTAACATTTTTGAGATAGTTTAATAGTACTTGCCTAGTGTAGAATGAGATACAAGTTTCTTGCATGCCCTGGTGGGCTATGAAATAAATGGTAAATAAATAGTTTTTAAGAAAACCAGAAGCAGGCTTTGTGTTCATTTTTCTGCAATGAAAAATGCACCCTGGTCTTTGAGAGCCTGCTGCTTGGTGTGAGGCTAAGCCTTGGCTTGCCAGACACTCGCCTGACGTGCCCCAGACGGCTGCTGTCACTGCATGAATTCTGTTGTCGAGTACCTGGGTTTTGTTTTCTTGTTCCTCAGACATGGATGATGATGCTTCCCTGCAGAGTTCTCACTAAGCTCCAGTATATGTGTCAGCTTTTTAGTCGTTCCTCGATAAATGTCGTCTCTTAATGTCACGCTGACTGGTACTGAAGATGGCGTGGGATGTAGCTGTGACGTGCCAGCTCAACAGCCAAGTGTTTTCTATGCCCATTATCCTTGGTTTCTTTTTGCTCTCCAGGATGGTGTGTCATCAAGGGTTAGCACATAGAATTCACTCTTCTCCTTTGCCTCTGCAGCCAGGCTCCCTCATTTCCTAGCATGCATGTCAGATCTTTGCAGTATTGAAGGTCACAGTGTTTGCAGCATGGTTGTGAGCCCATAAAAAGAAGCAGTGAGAGTAGACAGGGAGAGGCATGTATCCACAGGGTGTATGGAACATCTCATGAAGCCTGCATGCTGACAAGTATCTGAGAAGCCATTACCATAGAAGGCATGATTACAACTTTGTTTTTGGTCACTTGAACCAAGTAGGAAATACCTAAAAGAAATAATAAGATTAGGCTACAAAAGACCTCGAAAATTGATGTGAAATGTCTTTAACATTGCATTTTTATAATATGATACAGAAACATTTTAAATTGTGCTTTGTGCCTTTATTAGCTTGTGCCAAGTTCCTGATAATTGAATTAATCTTACCAACTTTCTGACATGTCATGAGTGTGTGTCCCATCTAAGCAGACATCCTCTCAAGTAGGGAAAGTGTCCAGGCAGTCCTTCTCCTTGCCAATCACATCTCATGTCTAGACCAGTCCTTGAGCTGCATTTATGAGCACAGGAAACTTCTGGTGACGATAAACAAGCTTGTTATTTTATAGCGAGAATTATTAGGGCTGGATGGTGCCCTTACAGTTTTCTTTGCTACCACCTGCTCCCTTGGTAGAGTGCTGAAGAGTGCTCAAATTAGAGTTTTTCTTGGGAGTATAAGACTTTTTCTCCCAAAGAGTTCCCCAAAGGCAGCCCACCCAGGCTTGCCCTTCCCCAGCTCAGAGTAGCTCTGCTCTGCTCTTTCTTTCTGCAGTGCATGTTCAGGTCCCAGTTCTTCTCCTCTTTCGTTAGGCTTTGGGCTCAGTGCTGAAGGAAGCAGAGAAGGATCTGTCCTGAGCCTACCCGGGACACCATCTTGTGTTCCTGTTGCAGTCTGGCTTCTTCCTTGGTTAGCCTGCTGCTTACCTCTGAGTTCTTCCATCCCAGCCTAGCGGCTTTGTGACGGTGTCCCTAAGCAGTAAATTGTTGCAAAGGAAGCAAGCGGCTGACTCAGGAAGACCAGTGGGCATGCTAGGATGAGAGAGTCATAAAGGCTTCTTGGTAGATGGAATCAGTAAGGGGGACGGTGTTGGCAGTAGCCTAGCAGAGGGATCTAGAGTGGTGGGTTACCAAGTATGGAGTAGAGCACCTGACAATATCTCTTATGCCCGTCAGCCCTCAACATAGCCCTGGGCCCACCTAACAGGGTAAGCGACTGGCTAAGATGTGAGGTAGAGCTGATGTGTTGTTGCTGATGGGACTGGTTGAAGAGCTGTGCTTGGGGTGCTTTCTGGCTATGCAGCTGCCTGCTGTCCCTGTCCCCAGTCTCCTATTCTCTGGGGTCATGGTACTGTCTGGTTTTTTTCCCAGGTGTTGTCTGTCTGTCTGGGCTCTGCCTTCAGTGATGACAGTCTTATTCTAACCTGCTCTGGGATATGTGCTGAGTGTCAGCATCCTGGGGCGGAAGACCAAATGTCTCACAGGTAGCCTTCAACCTCCACTCAGGCCTGCTTCAGCTCTGTGTTTCTTCCTTTAGAATGGGATCTCTGGGACAGTGGCATCAGTAAGGGGAGCCAGGTAGCCTGCGCTCTCTGAGCAGGTGGCTGTGACGATGCCCCGCTTCCTGGTGCTGCTCTTGCTGTGCCTCAGAGCACTTTGTGGTAGAACCCACAGCATGTTTCCCAAGGCTGCTGCTGGCTGTTGAGCCAGTCTGTATCTGAAGTGATACTGTCCCAGAACCTGTCCACCTTTTATCTAACTTCTGGTATGTGGTGTGCTTGCCACTGTGTTACCGTCCATGCGCATTTGGTTTGTATGGGTCTTGCATCTCTTTAAACAACCCACCTACCACTGTCGTGTTCGCTGCCGTTGTTTACCAGAAATGCTGCTGGCTTTGAATACACCTTGACTGCCTGAGCTTCTACCTCATACCTCAGGCCTAGAAGATCCTGTCCTTCTCTGCTCTGCCAGCTTGTTTCCCAATTGGGTTTCTTTGGCACCTCAGTGCCCAGGGAGGAGGAAGGCAGCCTTCCCGTTTGGGTGGTCCTTACACTTTTCATGGTGGTCCACCCATTCACTTGTATGTCGCTGCTACTGCAGCTGCAGCTGTAGACCAGAAAAGCCCTTGTCCACCAAAGGGTGTTGCATGAACACTCAGGTGGCTGTCCAGAGCACACAGTTCTCGCTGTGTCGTGTGCTCCCAAAGTCTCAGGTCCCCGGATCCCAATGTCCTGAAACTGGAACTGGTGTGTGTGTGTGTGTGTGTGTGTGTGTGTGTGTGTGTGTGTGTGTGTATGTGTGTGTGTACAGGTGTGTGTTTTGTGAGTGTGTGTGGTGGGGCTATACATACGGGTGGGTACTTGTTTGTGTGCATCTACATGTGTGTGCCAACTGTCTGTGTGTGAGATAAAAGGTCAACCTCTTGTGTTCTTTTGCACCCATCTTTACTGATCCAGACTCTATAGGTCTGGGATTAGACTAGGCTGGCAAGGCTCAGGGGCCCTTCTCTCCTCTTCCTCAGCTCTAGAATCGTATGTATGTACTCACCACCATGCTCAGCTTTTTACATGGTTTCAAGAGCTTAATCTCAAGTCCTCATGCCTGCACGATAAGCATTTTACAAACTGCTAAGCCATCTCTCTATAACATGCTCCCTCCTCCATTTCTTATTTTTAAAAAGATATTTTTTTTTTTTTAGATGTAGTGGCCTCAGGAGTAACCTTTAGATCAGTGTCATACAAAGGATGGAGAACTGAGTTGCATTTTCCATGGATGCTTTGAGAATTGCTGGTAGTTAGAGCAGAAAGGAAGGGTCTGCTTCAACTGTCATTTATGACAGGACTAGTATGCAGAGACAGGTTTGTGCACTGTAGCATCATTTGCACTCAGAGCACTTTCAATCTGTGCTTATTATCAATTTTTATTATAGGTTTTAAGACTGGTGTTTCAGGATATGCAAGAGGACCTTGTCAACGCTTGCCCTCCTTAGGTAGCTGGGATGTGGCATTAGTTTTCAGTAGCTACACGTTAGCCTCGCATGCTCCCCACTCCTAACACTTGATTACACTAAGGGAGAATTACCTGCGGCTATACCCTGCACACCTGACTGGACCAAACTCTGGTCCCTGTGTTCCCAAATGGCTCCCTTGCTGTCATGTGGAAGCAGAACCCCGTTTCTTATATAGATCAAGGGGCCTCTTGACAATGGGCAAAGTGTTTGGCTGGAGCGGAGAACAGAAGCAGAGAACAACCTGTCAGGTTGGTGAAGAGCTTTGAGGTATGGGCTACTAGCTCTATCTCATTAAGGCCTCCTGAGCACTTAACATCCTGGGCTGTCTTACTTCTTTCCTCTGGCATCCCTGGCTGCACCCCTCCTTCCGTGTTTCCAGCTGGGCTATGTCTGTTGACTGAGCAGAGAGCTAATGGGAAAGCTGGGTCAGTCTGGCCCTAGCACCTCTAATTGCCTTCCAAAAACCCATTTCTTTTCTTCAGATTCCCTGCCTTTGTGCATATTTGTATTCTCTCATCCTTGTACCACCTCCCCTGTGTTTATTTGGATGTTCTTAGTCTTCTTGGGTTGATCATTTAGCTCATTTATTTTGGCCTTTTGGATAAAAGAGTTTAGGTCATCCCCCTGTGGGTAGGGATGAGATGGCTGTTGATAAGTTCTGATTGTGGTGTTTAAGTTGTAAAAGCTGTTACATCAATACTTTGTAAACATTTATGTTTTGCAAGAGTGTTATTTTGAAATGTCTTTGAGTTCTTAAAAAAAAAAAAAAGGTACTTAGGTGTTTCTAAAATCCAAAAGTACGACTTTTCCAGGAGCCCTAGTTAAGATGCTTAGCTTTTTGTAGTGCGTTGGAAGTTACGGAGGCTCTGGATTTGGAGACAGCTTGTCGTATGGTCTGCTTTTTGAGACTTGAATGTGTCACTTGTGTAGAATGGAAGGAAAGGGCAGGGACTGAGTGCCATAGGTGACTAGGTGACAGCACAGTGAGCAAGATGGACCCTTGAGGGCTCTCTAGGAAGCTGTGGGGTAGCTCACTCTACTCACTCATTCCTGCGCCTGGGCTCTCTTGCAGCCAGGCTCTGTCCTAGCTTTTGAGACATGTGCATGGGTGACC